AACCTGCGTTTATGTCTCTTAAAAAAATGTATTTGCTATGAATAAGTCATTGATTGTGCAAAATTCGATCATTCTCTCTCCAGCTCCATTTCTGTCACTGAGTCCATGTTTTCCAACTACTGAATCTTCTTCTTTGTTCCCGACTTTTGCATTATTTTTCACAAAATAAGCTGGAACATCACAGTAACTCCCTCAAATACAGCAAACTTAGAGATAAATGCTATACCTATACAGCAAATAATAAATGAAGGAAGTATACAAATACCATGAAACAGACAAGCATGCTATGGGAAAAGTATGTTAAAGGTACGTCAAGAGGTGGGGCACCCAGCCAGGGTTTCTGCTGGCCTCAGAGGAGCCTACGCTAGTCTATCAGGCTAAAGATGATGTCTTTGCCAGTACAGGAGATGGGTGCTTCCTAGTCAGAGGAAGCACCTTTCTAATTTAGGGGCTGATTTTAGGCTCTAGAAGCTTCTGGCTCCAAAATAGGTTAGTGTGAGTGCAGACTGAGGAGATATGGGTCTTAGTGGGTGTGGAATGAGGAAGCAAGAGAGAGATTCAGGTGGAAGGGTAGGAAGGTGGATGGAACAATGGCCAGTCTCCTCCAGTATTATTTACAGTCACTGAAAACCCACTGGAAGGTCAGCTATGGGTTGATTTCAACTCAATGGTACACAATAACAACAACAACAACAACAACAACAGTGAGTAGTAGAGTAGGGTGGTCATGAGGGACAACGGAGAGAGTAGCTACCACTACACTAGCTGTCCTCCAAGGTTCTTATGTCTTGTGAACAGTTATTTAAGATGGTAACACTGAGCTGTTTGCAGTTTTGTGTTCTTTTGCTTTCCTTATTCATGTACTTTTAAAAATTTGTGTGAAGACTTACAAATTATACTGGTTTTTAATACAATCATTCATAGCCACTTTTTTTATACATTAGTTACCACTGATGAATGCAATTAATTAATTACATTGTCTAGTCAACCCCTTTCTAGAGTGCCCTAGTGGTTTATTGGTAAGGAGTTATGTTGCCAATCCAGAGGCCCACAATTTGAATCCCCCAGCTGCTCTGCAGAAGAATGATGGGCAGTCTAAGCCTGTGCAATTTACTGTCTCTGAAAACCCACTGGAGGATAACTTATGAGTTGGTTCTGACCTAATGGTCAGAATTTAATGAATTAATTAATTAAATTTTATAACATAATAATAATAATAATAATCATTTTTTTGTGTGTACTTTCAAATCAGATCTGACTGGTACAGGAGAAGATTGTCCCTCCTTCTCCAGTAGTGTATCTGCTGGATTTGAACCGCTGCAGTACAGCTTCTTGCCACTAGGCCACCAGAGCTCACCTAGAATGTATAATTTTTAATGAAAATAAATTTTATTTTGGAAGAAGTTTCATATCAACAAAATCCCCAATTCTGACTCATAGCACAAAGCAGAACTGCCAAAGAGGATTTTCAGTGTCTTGAAAGGAGCTGATTGTCTCATCTTCCTCCTGAAGAGCAGCTAACAGAAAATTCTAACAGATGACATTGTGATTAGCAGCCCAGTGCTTAGTAATATATGTGATCAGGGCTCCTGAGACAAGGATACTTCACTTTCATTCACAGCACACATAATCAACTAGTGAAACCTAAAGTAAGGGAATTTTAAAACAGGAATGTACAACACAGTTCAGTATCACCAAGCACCTAATTGTGGATTTTATATCCATTCCATCAGACAAATTCACACTGAGAAAGTTGTATTTCAGAGATCTATTTGTATCCTTCAATTCCCAGAGTGTAAAAAGATGTTACAGTGAAAACACAATTGCAGGCACTTACTGATTCCTTGAAAGAGCTCCTCAATATTAATAGCATTCTTGGCACTTGTCTCCACCACGATGGCACCTATGGATTCTGCATACTCCTTAGCATCCTTCAAGGGAACCTCCCTGAAAAAGAGGCCAAACCCGTGCAGAGATGAATGCTTCCTTGACGAACACAAATACCAAATATAAACAGAATAAACAGGTCCCATGGAAACAGCTCCTTTCTGTTCACAATAAACAATAGACCCAATCACTCAGCAAGTATTGAAAACCTGGTAGAAGCGAAAGAATATGTGCACATACGAAACTCTTTGTGAACATGACTCACCATGATCCTATGAACAACACACTGACACTTATAAATGATCTCCCACCATGCTCAAGCGCACTGCTGTAGTTACTTGTGGAAATCCATCTCAATGTGGGTTTTCACAGTTGGTAGCGAACTATATGTGACACTGAGAATTCTTTATTAGGAGAATCTTAAATACTACAAAACCTAAAACCCTCAAACTCGACGAGCTGGCCATTGAGTCAGAACCAACTCAGCCAATACTCCACTGGGTTTCTTAGGCCACAATCATACGGGAGGAGGCTGTCCATCATTCTCCCTCAGAGCCACTGGGGGATTTAAACTGTCAGAGACTTGATTTTGGGGTTAGTGATGCAACTTCCTACAGACTAGGCCACTTAAACTGTGGGGAGAGGGGGAAAATATGGTGACTATAAAATCCAAAGTGAGAAAAAGAAGTGAAGAGACTACCCTATCTGCTTCCTTCTCTGAAAACTCAAATGCCTGAAAATGCTGCTGATTTATATAGTTACTAAAGGAAGCCTACTCTGGCATTTACATTCCCTATGGACTCCAGATCATATGAGGAAGGCTTTTCAGGTACTGGCTGGAAAAGAGTTTGACTAGAGTTGATCATATTAAAAGCAATTGTCTCAAAACCTGAGAAAAATAAGTCTTAGTTAACTAAAATCTGTACTTCCATTACCATTCCCACTGAAGGCACAGAAGGAGAAAATTATGGTACGAAATCTACTCTTTATTCTTTTGACAAGCCACTCACAGAGATTATTCTTAAGATTTTTGTTGGCAGTAAGTTTTTTATTTTTTAAATTCCAGTAAACAGAATATTAAGATTTATGCAGTACTTAATTTTTACTTTTTCCTAGCAGTTCCATATCAAGGCACAAATTAAAACAGTGGGTCTCATATTTGGCCCAAATGTAGGACAGATAAGCCTGCTAATCTGTACTGGAGGTGGATGTGGGGAGTGCCTGGTAGTCAGTGAAGCTCTAGAGGAGAAGTGATTTCATATGCCATTAAACACTTCCTCAACAATGGAAACTAAGACAGCAGAGTATGCTTTGCCAGGATTAAAATGAGAATAAAATGGTCACATGATCAATCCAAAATGTCCATCTTAAGAATAAGTCTAGAGGGGCAAACTATTTCACAGTCTACAACACAGGACGTTAAAATGGAAAAGATAAGAAAGTTTCCCTGAAGACCACTTCCATCTTTCTAAAGGACTCTCATTAAAGAACTTGGCTGAGATGACCTGGCTAATTAATTAGAGGTGGAGGCAAGTCTGACCTCTGCCCACATTGCCAATGGGAACTAACAAATGCCACCCACTTCCCAATCCTTCCAATGTAGCCCCAGAGTGTGCTCTTTCAGATTCCACAAGCAAGCTATAGGTCTCAGAACATTCTCAAACTGTTAAGTACACTGGAGTGAAGAGTGAAGAAGGCAAGGGACATACCAGTAATGTGAAACACATTATTACCCTTTGAGGCCATTGAGATTCAAGAAGCTGAACCCTCTCAGTAACTCTCTTGGCGAGAAAAGTCTGTGCCTTTAGCCTACACTTTGGCTCCCTTCCCTCAGAGGTCATGTTCTGGGGCTTTCCCTTCTCTAACAGGCCCTGAAATTAAAAGTAGGGCAGCTGCCATGTTGGCATGCGCGAACACTTACAGGGCAGCCCGGGCTGGTTTGAAATTCTGGAGCTCCCAGGAATGTTGTGTCACCTTCCCTTTCTGACGTCCCTCCTGTGGAGAGGGTGTCTATGTCCAAGCAGCCAGCCCTGGGCCTTTCGTTATTTCTGAGACCTAGTGGCTGCTGACTGGGCCATGCTGAAATGTGAGCCAATTAATTTCTGAGCCTGAGCTCTTTGAAGCCTGTGACTTTTCCTCGGTTACCTCTCTGAGCCTCTAGACCCAGGGACTTTAGCAATAGAACTCTCAACACCTCCCTATGTGCTCAGCAGTCGGTAAGCCCTCTCCTCCACTCACCTCCTCCATCCTGCTACAAATGAAGGGCTGAATGTGCCACTCAGCAAGTGTCAGCTGTTAAGGCACTGTTAGGATCCAGGACCTAAAGTGAAGACTGTGGCCTTGATCTTAAGAAACCCATAGCCTATTCAGAGAAATAAACAAACTCACAAGGACAAATGCAGTGGCCATCAAGTCACTTCTTTTTTTTAATTATTAATTTATTTATTTTTTTTTTACAGAGGTTTTGGATTTCCATTCATTCATTGCCTCAATTTTCTCCCTTCCCACCCCTCCCCACCAGTTTGCTTCCCCCTCTGAAGAGAGGAAAAAAAAAAAAGAAAAAAAATTCCTTCATTAGTATACAATTCCCACGTCCCTTCCCCCCACCCCCCACCCCGAGTACACTTCTCTATGTAACCTTAATTCTGGATTCCTGTGCTAAGTCACTTCTAAAGGATGATGCTCCATGAGGTTTTCAACAGCTATGAGCCAGTGTTGACTCAATGGGGTCTTCCTTTTTTCTCTGACTCTCCACCTTTCCAAGCATATTATCTGTCTCCACAAACAGCCTCTCTTAACAACATGGCCATGCCTGGATAGATGGAGGGACGGTGAAGGAAAGGAAGACCCTCAGACAGATGGATTGACACAGTGACTGCAGCAACTGAATTGAGTGTGTCAAAAATGATGAAAATGGCACACAGGACAGGGCAGGGTTCATATCTATTTTTCATAGGGTTGCTGGGAGTCATACTCAAGTTGATGGCATCTACTAATAACAACATGCCCAAAGTATGTGAGTGATATTTTATCATTTTTGCCTCTAAGAAATAACCTGGCTGAATCTTTTACAAGATTTATCTGTCTGTTATTTTAGCAATCTGTGGAATATTCAGCACTCCTTTCCAACACTACAATTCAAAGGCATCAGTTGTCTGTAATTTTTAGCTACTATCCAGTTTTCAGATGCATAGGAAGTGATTGGCAAGGCCACAGTCTGAATCAGGCACACCTCAGTCCTCAAACTGACATCACTACTCCTCAATAATTTGGAGAAGTCCTTGACTTCAGACTTTCCCAGTGCAATTATATCTCTTGATCTCTGACTGCTGGTACCAAGTGTATTGATTGTGGATCCAAGTAAGATGAAGTCATTATTTTCAATCTTTTTCCCATCTATCATGATGTTACCTATCAGTCCCTTGGTGAGGATTTTTGTTTTCTTGATGTTGAGATGTAAGCCATATTTAAGACTATAGTTTTTGATCTTCTGCAGAAAGTGTTTCAAGTCATCCTCATTTTCAGCAGGCAAAGTTGTATCATCTGTATATTACATGGTGCTGTTTTTATAAAGTGCTTAGAATGATATCGGGCACATCCAGTGCCTCATAAAGACATCTTGATAAAGCTTTATTGGCAAAGGTGATGGCATGTGTAGAAATAGGGTGATGGGCATGGAGACAGCAGTATGCAGCATCTACTAACTTGGCAAGCAAGAGAAATCCCCAAAATGCCAAAGCCAATGATGTAAGACACACTGCGTCAGTGCTCTAATTGTTTTCTAATAATTCTAATACCAACCGTCCTTCCCACAGCACTGACTACTTATTTATGGGATTCGATAATTTGCTGCAAGAGCCACAAAGATAACCCAGACAATACAAAGTACTACCAGGTTTATTAGGAAAGTAGCATGTTACAATTAAGAGTTAGGAGTACTCAGGATAACCTCCTCTCAGAGTATATTCACAGGTGGGTCTGATGTCTCAGTTTCTTGCCCCATAAAGTGTTAGAAAGCTTTTTAGCTCTGGTGGGTCAAATCCATCAGTGGCTACTTGACAGAAGGATGGGAAGTTTCCTTCCATTAAGATCTTCAGCCTTGGAAATCCTCCTTCTGTGATGACCCAATTTAAGCCTGATGGGATGGTCAAAGAGACCAATTCCCATGTTAGTATGCTGCAGATCTTATTTGTACAGTCCCACTTGAAAAGTTCCTTTTACCTTTTTTTTTTTTTTACAGCAAGCTACTTAACCCCTTTTGTGGGCCACAAACACTCCATGTTCACAGTTTAATGCAAAAGTTACAAAAACCATGGCTTATAATACCTCCATCTGTAATTCATGGCACCATTTTCTGAGAGAAAGGCAACGTGACTGAGGAAACAGTACAAGTGGAATAAAGACATGAAAAGGTAGTTCACACTGCTTCACAGTAAGAAGACCTGTGGGGCTTCACATTGTGGCCCCAGAAGGGGCCCCCAGCCTAGTACTCGGGAGAGTATATAAAAATAGCATGGGTACATCAGCCGCCTTTATGAACCCATTCATTACCACGAGTGATCTTAAGAATAAAAGGGTGTCACAGTTAAAACGACATTAATCCCCAAACAACTTTTATTCTAAGATGTGGTTCGGCACCACCCTGTGCACAACAGACTGTAACCTTGCTTGGTCCTGTGTCATTCTTACAAGCTCTGTTGTGCCTAAGATCATTGCTACTTTATGTAAATTGACAATTTTCCTACAGTCATACTTGCATATTGTGGTGGTGGTTGTTGAGTGCTGTCAAGTTGTCTGTGACCCATATAGCAAACCTATGTAAAACAGCTCTGAACTCTGTCCTATCCTGAGCCTGTCACACTGATTCTGACACACCAACTCCCATTGTCCCAGTTACTATATCAATCTATCTCATCCAGGGTCTTCCTCTCCTGTACTATCCCTCCATTCTTTTGAGCATGATGTCTTTCTTCAAGGACTTTGCCTGTTACACATTCCAATTACTGGGGGATGTCTGCAGCTGTTTCTCCTTTTGAGTCATGCCATTACAGCATGTTAAA